CGGATTTTATATTCATGACTTTTAACAAGAATGATTCTTCTGTTAGCCTAATAAGATTTTGGGCTTTATTTTGTATTGGGTTTTATGATTGGGCCTTTTCGCTAGGAAACCCTAATTAGCTTGTCTATATATTATGTCTTTCCTTTTCATTGTATTTGTACTTCTCTTTGATAATAATATGAAACCCTAGCCGTTATATGTATTTCACTTGTTAGTTTACATGGTATCAGAGTTCGGTTGATTATCTGTAGTTTTTCGTTTTTTTTGGGGGGCGAGTACTGTTCATCGGGGCGATTACTATTCATCGGCGATACTGTTCACCGGAGTTACTGTTCATCGATTACTGTTCATCGTGATTACTGTTCATCGGTGTTACTGTTCATCGGCGTTACTATTCATCGGTGTTACTATTCACCCGACGATTACTGTTCATCGGCATTACTGTTCATCGTATTTACTATTCATCGGCGTTACTGTTCATCGACGTTACTGTTCATCGGTATTTACTATTTGACTGATATTGAAATATGGCCCCAAGAGATGATTCTCTTCAGTCCATTAATATTCAATTTGATGGCAAAAACTATGCCTATTGGAGTTATGTTATGAAAAAATTCTTGCGGGGCAAGACTATGTGGGGGATTGTTACAGGTGACAAGAAGAAACCAACAGACGAGAAGGCCGCTAATTATGCAACCTTACTGGATTCATGGGAGACTGATAACTCCAAGATCATTACTTGGATTAATAATTCTGTCATCCAGTCTATTGGTACTCAGTTGGCGAAGTATGACACGGCAAAGGAGGTTTGGGATCACTTGGCTAGGTTGTATACTCAGTCTAACTTTGCAAAGCAGTATCAGTTAGAGTTTGATATTCGAGCCCTCCAACAGAACAATCTCAGTGTTCAGGAATTTTATGCAGCTATGTCGGATTTGTGGGATCAGTTAGCTCTTACAGAACCTGATGTGTTGAAGGCTTTTAAGCCTTATATTGATAGAAGGGAAGAGCAATGTTTGGTTCAGTTCTTGATGGCATTACGTTCAGATTTTGAAGGTCTGCGTGGATCAATCTTGCATCGTACACCTCTTCCCACTGTTGATTCGGTTGTTCACGAGTTGATTGCTGAAGAAACTCGTATCAAGTCCCATGCTGACAAAGCTCCCAAGACAGCCACTACTGCTGTCTTTGCTGTTTCACAACGACCCCAATCTTCAAACCAAAATCGTCCCAGAGTTGCATTTGATGAGTGTGCTTTCTGTAAGAAGAAGAACCATTGGAAGGCAAATTGTCCTTTGCTGACAAGCAAGGGAAATCAGCAGCAACAACAAACAAGATCACCAGCACACTCTCAGTCTTCACAGCAGAACAAGTCTTCTGGACAGTCATGTCCCTCTTTTTCATCTTTTAGGCCACCACAGTACGCTGCTGCTATACCTTCAGTTGAGAATGAAACAGATTTCACACCACCATCAGCCTTGGATCCACAGATTGTTGAGCAGTTCAGACAAATTCTTAGCTACCAATCCAACTGCCATGTCAGCTTCCATGTCTCATTCAAGTTTGTCTTCATCCAACACGTCAGGTATTCCTTCATCCTTGTGGATATTGGATTCTGGTGCATCTCATCACATGTCACCACATTTTTCATCTTTTGCTTCATTATTTTCTCGTACACCTGTCTCTGTTATGTCTGCTAGTGCTACACCCATGTCAGTAGAGAGTGTTGGTTCTATTGTCACTCCTTATATATCTTTAACAGATGTGTATTACATTCTTACACTTGCTTTGAATCTTGCATCGGTCAGTCAGTTGTGTAAATCTGGTTGTTGGGTCTTCTTTTCTGATTCATTCTGCTGTGTACAGGACATTCGGTCTCGGAGGGTGATTGGGATAGGCCGTAGACTTGGGGAGCTTTATGTCTTGGAGAAACTACATGTTGCTGATGTTGCTGCATCTAGTGTCGATTTGTCGTCTTTTCGTTTAAACCCTTCATCGTCTCCTTTTTATCTTTGGCATTCTCGTTTGGGACATGTTTCAGCGTCTCGTTTACAGTTTTTGGTTTCCACCGGTGTGTTAGGCTCTTTGAAATTTGATGATATTTCTGATTGTTGTGGTTGTAAACTGGAAAAATTTTCTGCTTTACCGTTTAATAAAAGTGTCACTCGTTCTGTTGCTCCCTTTGATATTGTGCATTCTGATGTGTGGGGTCCCTCTCCGATAACCTCCAAGTCAGGAGCTAACTATTATGTTTCATTCATTGATGATTACACTCGTTATACGTGGGTTTATTTTATGAAGCGCAGGTTTGACTTTTTCACCATATATAGTGAATTCAGAGCTCTTGTCAAGACTCAACACTCTGCTATCATAAAATGTTTTCGGTGTGATCTGGGAGGAGAATTTACCTCTAATGATTTTAAACAATTATTGGCATCTGATGGCACTATACATCAATCATCTTGTACAGACACTCCTCAGCAGAATGGTGTTGCAGAAAGAAAACATCGACATCTCCTAGAAACTGCTAGATCCTTACTACTCTCTGCTCAAGTTCCCAATATGTTTTGGGGAGAAGCTGTTCATACCGCTACTTATGTTATTAATCGCATTCCTACTGCGTACACTCCGGGGAAGTCTCCTTATGAAATGTTGTTTGGACAACTCCCAGATTATTCTTCATTACGAGTGTTTGGGTGTACATGTTTTGTCTTGAAGCCTCATGTAGAGAGAGATATGCTGTCTTCAAAATCAGCTCTTTGTGTTTTTCTGGGATATGGTATTGGTCAGAAAGGTTATCGGTGCTATGATCCTTCAAATCAGAAACTGTATGTATCTCGCAATGTAACCTTTTTGGAGCATATTCCATTCTATAGCATTCCTGTTCAGTCACATGATGCAACCCGAGAGGAGCTTCGTACTATTGATCCGTTTAGCATTGACATTGATGATCCACCACTTGCTGCTGATCCACCACATGTGGCTGATCCAGCACCTATCGTTGATCCTCTGCCTGCAAATCATCAAGACCCCCCTCCATCGAGACCTTATCGTAATAAGAAGTCCACAAAGCTTCCTGAATTTGTCTATTCCTCTTACTCACCGGCTTTTGCCTCTTTTATTGCTAATGTACATCGTCTCTCTGAGCCAACATCCTATAAAGAGGCCATTTCTGATCCCCTTTGGCAGACTGCTATGGCTGAGGAACTTACAGCTCTTTATCAGACTCATACATGGGATCTGGTTCCGCTTCCACCTGTAAAACACATGATTGGTTGTCGTTGGGTTTATAAAATCAAAACAAAGTCTGATGGATCCGTTGAGCGTTATAAAGCCAGACTTGTTGCGAAAGGGTACGCGCAAAAGTATGGTATGGATTATGAGGAGACGTTTGCTCCTGTTGCAAAAATGATGACTGTTCGCACCTTGATTGCAGTTTCTTCCATTAGCCAATGGAAGATTTATCAAATGGATGTCAAGAATGCTTTCCTGAATGGTGATCTTCATGAAGAAGTATACATGTCTCCTCCCCCTGGTATTGCTCACCGACCAGGTGAAGTTTGTCGACTTCGGAAGGCTCTATATGGCCTCAAACAAGCCCCTCGTGCTTGGTTTGAGAAATTTTCTACGGTGATTACTTCTCTTGGTTTTCAACCAAGTAACCATGATTCGGCTCTATTTATTCGATGTACGAATGCAGGTCGGATTATTCTTTCCTTATATGTCGATGGCATGATTATTACTGGTGATGATCATGATGGTATAGAGTCTTTAAAGCGTGATTTGGCTCACCGTTTTGCTATGAAAGACTTGGGATTACTTCGTTATTTCTTGGGGATTGAAGTTGCTCAATCTCCAAAGGGTTATCTTTTTATCTCAAACGAAGTATATTTCAGATTTGTTTGAACGTGCACGACTCACGGATAATCGAACAGTTGATACGCCTATAGAGAGTAATGCAAAGTACTCTCCAACTGATGGTGTCCCATTATCAGATCCAAGTCTTTATCGTACCATTGTTGGGAGTTTGGTTTACCTGACTGTCACTAGACCGGATATTGCTCATGCAGTTAATGTGGTTAGCCAGTTTGTCACTGCTCCTACTACTGTTCATTGGGGAGCTGTTCTTCGTATTTTGAGATATTTACGTGGTACTCAGTTCCACACTCTTATGTTTCCTTCTTCATCCTCTCTTGAGTTGCGTGCCTATAGTGATGCAAATTGGGATAGTGATATTTATGATCGTAAGTCCACTACTGGGTATTGTGTTTTTCTTGGAGATTCATTGATATCATGGAAAAGCAAGAAACAAGATGTTGTTTCTCGATCTTCTACAGAATCTGAGTATCGAGCCATGGCTATCGCCACTTGTGAGATTGTTTGGTTGAGATGGCTTCTTGCAGATATGGGCGTTCACATCTCTCAGCCTACCCCTTTGTATTGTGATAACGAGAGTGCGATAATGATTGCCAAGAATTCAGTGTTTCATGAGCGCACAAAGCACATTGAGATTGACTGTCATTTCACACGTCATCATCTCCAGAAGGGCACTATCTCCCTTCCTTATGTTCCTTCCTCTTTGCAGATTGCTGATATTCTTACGAAGCCGTTGACTGCTCCTCGATTCCATTTTCTGTCTGACAAACTCTCAATGCTTATTGCTGTTGCATTGTGAGTTTGAAGGGGGATGTTAGCCTAATAAGATTTTGGGCTTTATTTTGTATTGGGTTTTATGATTGGGCCTTTTCGCTAGGAAACCCTAATTAGCTTGTCTATATATTATGTCTTTCCTTTTCATTGTATTTGTACTTCTCTTTGATAATAATATGAAACCCTAGCCGTTATATGTATTTCACTTGTTAGTTTACATCTTCAACTGCGTGGGGTTATCAACCAGGGGCATAAATGGAATGTCATGGATGTATAATGTATTTTATATGCATTAACAATTAATAGTTTTTTTCATTAGTTAATTTAAGACCAACTAGCTGTGTAAATCAATGGTGAAATTTGGAATTGCAGTGGATCTGTTTTTCTGTTTTTCTACAGTGAAGGCAAAGGAAAAGAAAGACGGGTCATCCGGTTACTAGACAAAAAAACAAGTTTTTACAAAAAGTTGGGTTTTTTTTTGGGAAACAAACAAACCTTTTGGTTTAAAACGAAAAAATGGGTAAATAGTGGGTCTTTATTGGAAATAACCCGCTGAAATATTGTATGAAAATGTAATTTATCTGTGATTTCATCTTCACGCTTGTAGACTTCAGTTCACTGATTCAGTTCCTCCGATTCCATCACATACCCACCGCTATCACTGCTCGCTGTCTTGGCCTCGTAGGAATGGCACGGGTAACAGACATGGAGAAATTGAAGGCATTGACGTCATCAATCGAAACCCTAGGCCACCGATTTCTACAACAATGTTCCGTGAGTGGAACGGCGAAAGGAAAAGGGAAGGTGAAGGCTGGTGTAACCCTAAAGAGATCAAAAATCACTATAAAGAAAGGTCAACAAGCACCAGATCCGTCGCGACGAAAGGTCCGAGGAAAGGGCAACTGGAACAAATGATCGACGATTGCTTGCAGGCGAAAGCACCGGTGAGGTTTCTGAAGCCTAAGGAACGTGAGAGAGAAGCCGAGAGGGAGAAAATGGGATTGGTTTCCGAAGATAGGAAACAAGAGATTGCGAATTTTAAGAAAAACAAGAATAAGGCGAAAGATGATAATGAGCAGAAATCAGGGATAAGGTTTATCGGACCTGAAGGTCTGGATCTTGTAAGTTTAGGGGTTGTTGACGCTGATAAGATTCCGAAATATGAGTTGACAGTTGAGGATGGGAGGAAGTTAGCTAAGGAGTATGGCAGGGTTTTGATGAGGAAGCATCGAGCAAGGCAGGCAGCGGAGACAGGGTTGCTGATGTGTAAGAAGGAGGCCATTGAGGCGTTGCCGGAAGGTTTAGGTTTGAGAGAGGCGGCCTTGGTTCCTGATTTGACTCCGTTTCCGGTGAATAGGTTCATGGCAACATTGACGCCGCCCATTGAAGGGTACATTGAGAAGATCAATGAAGCAGCGAAGAGGCAGAGCTCAGTTAAGGGGAAGCTCAGATGAGATGAGGGGAAAGGTTAGTATATTCTCTTTAATTGTCACTTGATTACATATATCATCATATCATTTCCATGAGCTTCACCTGATCAAGGATGCCATTTTAGTGAATTCTAATCTTCTGTTTAAAGTTGTGAAGTATAGGAATTTGAATGTATTTGTGTTTTCATTATCAGATCATGTAATGTACTTTTACTTATCATTAAATTAACCACTTTTTGGTGAATAAGTAGTACGTACATTTTAAATTTTTGTATATAGAGTGGTTATAACATGACATCTTGTTTCTCAGTATTGTATTATGAAATTATCATTCAAAGAAAAAGAAAATAGTAGTCAATCATCCATACATGAATATGATCAGATGAGTGGATTTTGATCCAAAATTATGTTATGTTTATAATAATACTAATATTAGGCTGATTGATTGGTTGTTTCCTTTAATTGATGCAGGTGGTAGGCTGATTTTGGATCTAATATGAGAAGGTTACCATATGAATGTACTGTGAGATTTGAAGCTCATGTCGATTCTGATTTTCTAACATCTCTTTCAATGAAATGAAATAAAAAGTTAGTTATGATTTTAATTTAATTTATTATAGTTCTGAAATAAACATTAATTTGTTATTTAGTCCCATTTAAAGAAAAATAAAATAAAGGTAGTTTTCAGACCCTTCTTTCAGACGAAAAAAGGAACATATTTTGTGTGCACAACACTTGTTCAAGATAGACATTCTATCTAGTATAGTAGTTACACGAGAAAAGAAACAAAAAACACCCTTCATGATGCCAAAGTACAAAAAGTAGTTCAACTACATTACCTTTGATTAAAACCATAAATACTACGTTTTTAATTATCTTCATTTTTTTTTCTAATTTATTAGTTCTAGTGGGATACTTTTACCTCTTTAGCCCAAACAGCCACAGACCTTTTCATGTTTTTCACCTCTTGATTAATACATTAATGCAAAATTCCATTATTCTTTTTTGTTCATCCTCTCATCTCAAACATATTGCCATAGATGGCAACATTGTGGATACATGTAAAACCCAAATCACCATAAGACTCCAAGCGGACCAAGCCAGAGCAGACTCTCAAGAAGAGAGGATTGAGCAACTAATAGTGGTTCATGCCAAAAGGGAAATAATATCTGAAATACCTAAAATGATGGAGAAACTGATTTCCTTAAACATAGATCCCCAAAGAAAAATATTTTGAAAGCATGGGCAAATAAATACGATGACCGGTGTGTACGAATCATGAGATAAATCTATGAATATGGGTTTTGATTCTCTAATTTGCCATAACCATTATCACTCTTCCTTATTCTCTCTTCCTGAGGTGAAACTTCCCTTATTGACTCGGGGTGGTGTTTAAAAAAATATATTAATGTGCGATGCATAAACCGTTTTATGAAATTGTGTCTTACACTTGGCAAAATAAAAAAGGAATGAATAGATTTACAGTTGTCATTGACATTGTGGTTACCAAATATAATGACGTAATGACGTGACAATTAAATGAAAAATGAAAAACACAAGAAAATGACAAGTAAATTTTTTTTTTTAAATCTTAGAAAATGACATGGGTCAAATTCAATAAGAAGTTAACATTCGACAAAAAAAAAACGTTTATTTATTAGGATAGATATATAAAAATAAAAGCTCAAAGACTCAAACATATTAGATTTTTAGAATTTATTGGTAATTTAAAATCATTTTCAACAACTTATTTGTTTTTTTTCTTAAATTTAGAAATCATATGTACTCTCGGCAACAGTATTTCAAAGGCAACCAATGATTCTTAAGATGCCACGTACATGTTATAATAGTTTTTTGCTAAAAACAGACTCAACGGTAATGCTTAATTATATTAATGCCAATTCACTATTTTTAAGTGAATTTAACTTTTTAGTAATATTTTTACTTTTGACAATGGTTATTGTTCAATGGCGGTCCTAGAGGTGTGTGGGTGGTACAGTCGTATGGAGGCTCCAATCAAACGAGACACCTAATTAAACGTTTCCTTTAATATCATATTACAAAAAACTTATAAAACAAAAACAATATTACATTACATATAAGTCCGTTTCAAAAAAAAAATAAAAAAAATACATATAAGTATAGTCACATACTACTAATTTAATTTATGTTTTACTAACAATAAAAATTAGTTTGTTAAATATGTTATTAATACCAATGAAAATTTAGATACCAATATATAGAGATCTACAAAGAATAAGTTTGAGAAGACTTTGAATTATTTCAAACCAATAGTTTTGATTTAAGAATTGATGTGCTATTTGGTTAGAAAAAAAAATAATAAGTTTTAAGGACAATACATTTGACAAGAGTGACATTTAGTCATCAAAATTAGTAATGAACTTTCACGTGAAGAATCATTTGGGGTTTAATGTTTATTTTACACAATTGATTAGGTTGTATGCTTATTAGAGTGGATATTTGAGCAATACATTTAATATGAATATATTTTTATTTTCTATTCACTACAGAAAAATTGAATTCGTTAAATATTGTCGCACTAAATAAGACAAAAATCTATAAGATATGTTACAGAATAGTTACATCTTAAACATCAATAATGATGATTTATTCAACAAACTGAAATGTTACAAAAAAAAGAACCAATTAAATATAATATAAGTAGCAAATTAATAGTTTTTTTAAAAAGAAAAAGATAAAAACTTATTTTGTTTCTTGTCTACCATAAAAAAAATATTGTTGATTGTTTTAATTATCGATGCATCAACAGAAAGAACGCTATCAAGATTTAAAGTTTTAAAATCTTATTTGCGATTTATCATGTTTCAACAAAGATTAAACAATTTGACTTTGATTTTGATTGGGAAATATATTTTTTTAAAATATTTATTATGAAATTTTAATTGATGAATTTGTTTTAGAAATGCTAGAAGGTCGATATTTAGAAAATATTATAATGTATGTTTAACTTCTTTTGTTGCATTTTCTACTTATTACTAATGACTAATGAGTGAATAACCGTATATGATGTTCAAATAGAAATTTTACGAGATGATTTTTATCAACTTTAAGTTTTAACTTCAACAGTTTTATATATATATATATATATATATATATATATATATATATATATATATATATAGCTAGTTTTTGTGTTCTAACTATCTATTGTGTACATGTAGGATTGATTGTGGAACAATCATTTTAGTTATTTTAAGAAAGTAATTAACACATTAAATGTTGAAGATATAATGAGTATTAATTAACTCTTCAACATTTAATATGTATTAATTATTTTCTTAAAATAACTAAAATGATTGGTCCACAATCAATCTTATACACATACAATAGATAGTAGAAACATTTGAACTTCAATTAGATTTTGCACAAATCTTTTAAAATATTGTAGTCATGTAACCTTGACATAAATCCTTATATAACCATATTAATAATATATATATATATATATATTATATATATATAGATATATATATATATATATATATATATATATGTTTTTATCTTATAAACCCTTTTTATTTTTATATATATATATATATATATATATATATATATATATATATATATATATATAGTTTTTTTCTTTATTATTATTATTATTATTATTATTGAAATTTTAATTAATTGTGTTTCATTTTTTATATTATGTGTTTTTTAACATTTATATCTATATATATATATATATATATATATATATATATAGTTATATCTTTATTTTTAAGAACAAGAGTATCATATGTATTTTTCAATAAAAGATATATATATATATATATATATATATATATATATATTATATATATATATATATATATATATAGTGTTTTAGAAAATGTTTTTATATATTTGTACATTTTTTATTAAAAAATGTTTTTTATATTTGTTTTGTTTTAAAAAAATCACGAATAATTATATGTTTTTTTACATGTGAGTTCATTTAGGAACAATTGTATTTTATATATTTATCCAAGATTATAAACATCCCCATAATACACACAAGTTCAATTATTATTATTATTTATTTTTGTGTCTTTAATTTTTAAATTCTAATAACTATTAATCTCGTCTTAAAAGTAACACATGAACACAATAAGAAATCGAACGAAAAAATAACATATAAATTATCCGAAAGAAAAAAAGCACAAAAAACAATAATGGTAAAAAGAAACAAGAAAAAAAACAATAAAAATGACAAAAACAACTAATAATCTATCAAATCAGTGGGATGCATCATGTAATTTAAAGAGTGGATAATGAGGGTAATATATTTTTTAATTTGTACACATTTGATCATTGAGTTTTTTTTTCGTCTATATTTACCCTTAAATTTGTTAACCTTGCAATAAAAAAAATATTAAGGACTAAATGTGTACAAAAATATTAAGGATTAAATGTGTATAAAGTGATAAATATATTACCTTATTAAGTTATTTTTACCGGCTAACCTGGAGTAACCGGTCATAAGGACTAAATGTGTACAGCTTAACAAGTTGAATGGGTAAATGTAGACGGAAAAAAATTCAATTACGAAATATGTATAAATCGAAAAATATATTACCCTTTTAAGTCATTATCCTTTTAAAGAGATAGATAATAAAAATTCCATTGGAATAAATTATTTTTTTATTTAATAACGTGACAATCTATTTAAAAAAAATTAACTAGTTAGTGTACCAAAATAACTTTAATAAAAAACTTGAAATGTGTCTCCATAATTTATGTCTAAAAATTATTTTGTTACATAAATAAATAAAACATTAAATATAGTTTTATGAATATTCATTTATTCTGTTAATAAATTACCAAAAAAGTGTTTAGTGTAAAATTTTACATAAAATTATAATTTTCATTTATTAAAAAAAGTTTAATTACCATATATTATTTGAGTGGAGAGCATGTCGATATACTGTTGTTATATGATGTATAAATTCCCTTAATCGCCTCTCATCCTTATAATCCAAAGTGCTTTTCGTTTTAAGCATGCATTTCTCTTCTCTTCTCTTCTCCATTTCTCAAAAATTATCAAAATCCCACTTTTCTAAACCCTAAATATCTCTCTCAATTTGTAATCACCATTTCAGCTTAAACACAAGAACACCCTTTGAAATTACAAGATTTTGTGTGTGTGTGTGTGTGTTTAGCGTCAAGTTATGGACCCAAAACACCCCACCACCACAATCCCAGAACCTGAAAGTGATACCCCACCTCGTTCCCAATCAATCAAGAAACTATTATCCTTCCAAAACGGAAAACCACACCACCATCCTCCGCCGCCGTCTACGGTGGTTGCATATAAAGAATGTCTCAAGAACCATGCCGCCAGCATAGGCGGCCACGCCTTAGACGGCTGCGGTGAGTTCATGTCTTCTCCGACTTGCACCCCAACAGACCCTAAATCTCTTAAATGCGCAGCCTGTGGCTGCCACCGGAACTTCCACCGCCGGGAACCCACCAACGACTTCCCTGCCACCGTCACCAGAAACCACTTCATCGATTTCAACCGCCCCTACCAAACCTCAACCTCCACCTCCACCTCCCCGACTCCACCTTCGCCACCTCCTCAACCAACAAACTACGCTTTCGGAGGGCACCTCCTTCTGTCACTCAGCACGGCAGCGGATCAAACCCACACGACGGCGACGCCGATGGCAATCAAGACTAGCGGGAGGAAGCGGTTCCGGACGAAATTCAGTCTGGATCAGAAAGAAAAGATGACGATTTTTGCAGAAAGATTAGGGTGGAAGATGCAGAGATGTGACGATAAGTTGATTGCAGATTTTTGCAATGAGATTGGAATCAGAAGAGGGATTTTCAAAGTTTGGATGCACAACAACAAAAACAATTTCGGGAAGAGAGAAAAAGGCATCACCACCACCGCCACCACCGCCGATGCTGCCGCCGTGGTACGTAGTAATGACAGTACTCATCACGACAACGGAAGTGACGATGTTCATCTTCAAGCTTCTACTAACGGGTCGTCTTCTTCATCTTGATTTTGTAACAGTATCAATTAACCTATTTTAGGGCAAATCGAATAAAACCCAGTTTTTAAAGATAAGATTTTTAATTGTTCTTCACCTCCGATTCATTTTCTGTAATGGAGTCTTTCTCTTTCACAGGTTGCTGCATAACGCATTTAGTCAAAATTCATTGCATAATTGTTGAATATTGAGCTCCATTAATGAATTGTGAGCCAAATTTTGAACCCAAATCTTAAAATTCATGCTTCGGGATCGGAATCCCATGAAAATATTTGGGAGATAAAGTTGTTGAATTTGTGTTTTGGGAGTAATCAGAAAGTCAAAATAATGAAGCAATCGTGTTTTGGACTTTTGGTACTTTTTGCAGGGAAGTAATGAACACACCAAACTTGCCTGACTAAGAAATTAATTGCTATGAATTATGAAACCATGGTTGTTGGCTTTTGAGATTAACCCTAATCTCTTCCTCTAATCATTGATTAGTTTTTATTTTAAATTAATTTATTCTATTTGTAGAAAGGAATTTAGGTTAGGAGTCATCTTAATTCTTGGCAACACTAATCTCAAATACCCATTTTACCCTTGCTAGAATCTAGATGTATTTTAGGTTTCATTGATGTATACACTTCTTATTATTATTACACCAAATACAACAATATATTTTTTATTTTAATCCATTCATTCACATCTTGATATTAAAATTATATAATAACTTTTGTTTATGATAATTAGTTGTTTAAAATGAGAAAACAAATGTAAGTTGGCTATTAATTGTAATTTTTTTTTTCGTTTAACGAGGTATGAATCATGTCGATATTTTATGTATTTTTCGTTTAATTTAATTTCATATAAACACATTTTACTCTATGGAAAAAATTGCAATTTACAATTACTTATTTACAACAACAAGAAAGAAAACCAAATTCGCGTTTAGTAGTTGTTACCCTCACTAGAAAATGCTGTTTTCATAGATTAAAGATATTTTTAGCAATAATCTTTTTTAAGCTTTTAATTTTAAAAAGTTAGAATTAAAGAAAAACATTTTGTTTGTAGTAAGAGTTTAAAGCTTCTATTTTGTACAAAAAAAACATTATGGGACAGTAATACTTCAACTAGTATTTTGAGATGTTTTAGATTTTACCTTTTATCTTTATATATCATTTTATATATTTTAAAAGTTTTAGTTATTTATTCAATATTTTATATAAACAATAACTACATTTCAATTATATGTTTACAACTTTCAGCTAGTTTCGACCGACATAAAAAAGAAAAAAAAAATAATTAGATAAATAGTACAAAAAAAAACACAAAAAGAAAAGGAAAACAACAATCTAAACCAATCTATTATCTTTATCTTCAGTTTTCACATTCTCCGGTCTAAAACAAACTTGTAATAAAAAATAATAGGTAGGTGGATTGGTATAAGAATTATAACTCTCGACACAATGTGTGGAGAGAGATTTAATTGATACTTTATACACTCAAGTACAGATAAGATAAGTACAATTTGAAACATAAAAATAATCTATTCTAAACAATATATATCTCTAAGATAGTTAGGCAATATCTTTTATATCGTTAATACCCCCCCCCCCCCCCTCAAACGAGCTGGTGGTGGACAAACACAGAGCTTGGAACGAAATTGCTCAAACAAAAGCTTTGGAAGACTTTTAGTAAATATATCAGCTAATTGCAAATGCGTAGGAACATAGCAAGTGTATAGTTTGCCCGAAGTCACGAGTTCTCGAACAAAATGAAAATCAATATCAATATGCTTAACTCGTTTATGCGAGACTGGATTTTTGGCTGAGGAAGATAGCATTATTATTGTCACAAAGAAGCGCAAGGCGATCAGGAGGTAAGACATGAAGCTCTTTAAGCAAATGAGTAACCCAAACAATCTCAGCTGCAACGTTTGCCACGACCCGATATTCTGACTCACAGCTAGACCGTGACAGCGTGGGTTGTTTCTTGGCACTCCACGAAACAAGGTTACCTCCAAGAAAAATTGAATAACCATATGTAGATCGTCTAGTTTCAATGCAGTGAGCCCATTCGACATCAGAGTAACCTATAATGGAGGGAGTTGAAGAATGTCGAAAAACCAACCCATGAGAGATAGTTCCCTTAACACAACGAAAAATTCTTTTGACAACCTGAAAATGATCAAGAGTAGGAGCATGCAAAAACTGACTAACTTAATTCACCACATAGGATAAATCTGGCCGAGTAATGGTGAGATACTGCAAGGCACCAACTAGCGAAAGATAAGTAGCTGGATCATTAAAAGGAGCACCCGAACTTGTTAAGTAGTCGGATGTAGAAAGAGGCGTGGCAACAGGTTTTGCGTAGAGTAAGTCGGCTCGAATGATTACATCATGTGCATATTTGGCCTGACTGAGAAATAAACCATCACTGTTGTAGCTGACTTCAAGACCTAAAAAATAGCTCAAAGGTCCAAGATCCTCAATAGCAAATTCTTGATGTATGCGAGTAATGCAAGACCGAATAAGAGTTGGTTGATTTCCTGTGAAGATGAGTCATCAACATAAACAAACAAGTAGAGAATGGATGGTCCCTTTTATAAACAAAAAAGATGTATCAGCACGACTAAAAATAAAGCCAAGAGTGACTAAAAAGGTGCTAAGTCGTTGAAACCAGGCACACGGAGCCTGCTTGAGGCCATAAAGAGCCTTTTATAACCTGCATACATGATTAGGAAACTTTGGATCAAGAAAAATAGGGGGTTGCTCCATAAATATCGTTTCTATGATATGACCATTTAAAAAAGGCATTTTTAACATCCAGTTGGTGTAGTGACCATTTGTTCAAAACAACCAGAGAAAGCACAATACAAACAATGTATGCTTTAAGTACTGGGCTCAAAGTAAGAGAGTAATCAAGACCGGGAACTTGAGTGAACCCTTGTGCAACCAATAAAGCTTTGTAACGATCAAGAGAACCATCAACAAGGTATTTAGTGCGAAAAACCCACTTAGAACCAACAATATTCGACCCGATGGGTCGTGGGACCAAGACCCATGTGTTGTTAGAGCTCAATGCCTCCATCTCTTCTCGCATATCAGAAAAACAATTTGGATATTTGATGACAGTTTTGAAACCGCGAGGTTCCTTGTTTGCAAATAAAGTGACGTGAAGTGGGTTGTGCTGAAGTGTTGCAAAATCAACAACATGTTTAGGCTTAAAAATCCTGTTTTAAGAGCGAACAACCATCGGATGGGTAGAGACTGTCGGAGGAGAACCATGTGTGCAAGTGTTGGAGTAGCTGAAACCAAACTGATAGAGGTTGTTGGAGTGGACTCAACAACTGGTTGATCGAGCACATCATCAGATGGTGGTGGGTCGTTACACAACGAACAATGAGAAAAGGCTGAGGAGCTGCCAGTTGGGTCAAAGTGTGATGAAGCAACTTGTTGTGTGTTGATAGACTGACAATAATTTTGAGGAACAGTAGACGATGCAACTGCAAAAGGACCATATGTATAACTCGAAAAAAATAAGGATGCAAGATCAACCTTATTAACATGGCCGGAAAAAGGAAAGCTTGTCTCATCAAATTGCTCATGTCTAGTTGTGTAAATGCGGGAAGAGACCGGATGAAGGCAACAATATCCCTTGTACTAAGAGTCATATCCAAGAAAAATGCATGCAACACTTCTTGGAGCAATCTTGTGAGGAGCATAGTCTCGTAAATACGGGTATATCCGACATCCAAAAACCCGAAACATATCATAAGTGAGGGCATGACCAAAGAGGAGCTCAAAAGGAGTCTTGTTATGAAGTACCTTGGTGGGTAATCGATTTATAATATATATGTGGCAGATTGGAACACATAGACCCAAAAGGAAGCAGGTGCATGAGCATTAAATAACATGGCAAGACCGGTTTTAGTAACATGGCGATGCTTGCATTCAGCATCCCCATTTTGTTGTGGAGTATAGGTACATGAAACACGATGATGAGTACCATTTGCAACAAAAATATTTTGAACCCGATGATTTAAAAATTTTGTGCCACCATCACTTTGAAAGACTTTGAGTTTTGTTGAAAGCTGTGTTTGAACAAAACTTATAAATGCTTTAAAAATATCAAAAACATCGGATTTCAATTTGATTGGATAGAACCAAGTAAAAAGAGAATAGTCATCAACATAGAGTATGTAATAGAGGTATCCATTTGTAGATGCAATAGGAGCAGGTCCCCACAAATCACAATGAACAAGATCAAGAACATGCAAAGAGCGTTTAGGATTAAATTCAAATGGTAGTTGTTTACTCTTAGAGAGTTGACAGGATGAACAAATACTTGGTTTTGGTAATAAAGAAGTAACAGATAAATGACCTAATATAGATAAGGAAGTAATGGCATCAAAGGCAACATGAACCAAACATTTGTGCCAGACTTCAAAAGAAGCTTGGAGATGGGACTTTGACAACATGGAAAGAAACGCCTTTTGACCTTGTTCAAGAATGTAAAGACCTTGATCAACCCCTCCTTGAGCAAGAATGTACTTGGTTAGGCGATGATGAAGAAAAAAGAATGATTTTGAAATTAAAATGTCAATAGGAAGGTCATTTGTGAGTTTACTAATTGAAATCAATTTTTTCGTGAGATGTGGAACTACAAGGACATCTAATAATGGAATATTCATATGAAGAATGGAGTGTCCAACATGAGTTATAGGCAAAGTGTTACCATTACTAAAAGCTAAGTGATTAGCCCCATTGTAGGGTTTTTCTCCTTGAAGAGATGAGGTAGAAGATGTCATATGAGAAGTGGCACCCGAATCAACATACCAATCCGGCGAAGAGTCAGCATAAGAAGGCTGAAAAGATGATGCAATATTAGCATCATGAGTAAGAGGATGGGTAGCAAACGTTTGGAGATCTGGACACTTATTTGAATAATGACCATCTTTCCTTCAAAGTTGGAAATGAGGAGATCGATGACCTCTGTGTTGGGGTGCAAAGTTATTCATGAATGACTTT